CATGGAGCCCCCACGCAATGTGAAGGAAGTTCAACGGTTGACGGGCCGCTTGGCAGCCCTCAACCGCTTTCTATCTAAATCAGCGGAGAAGTCTCTACCCTTCTTCCAGATCATGAGGAAGACGGCTGGCTTTCTATGGACTCCAGAATGCCAGGGGGCTTTCGACGAGCTCAAACGGTATCTATCTTCACCCCCTGTGCTCTCCAAACCAAAGGTAGGGGAGACCCTCTATCTCTACCTTGGGGTCAGCCCGGCAGCCATCAGCTCCGTACTCATCCGGGAGGAAGACGACATCCAACATGCCATCTTCTATGTAAGCAAGACCCTAAGGGAGGCCGAGCTCAGGTACTCTCGTGTGGAAAAAACGGTGTTAGCCATTTTTTGGACCGTCAAGAAGTTGGGCCACTACTTTCAGGCTCACCCGGTTCAGGTCCTCACTCATCAACCCCTCGGCGCCCTCATGAGGAGCCCCACCAGCTCCTCCTGCATGGTGAAATGGGCTATCTTCTTGAGCCAGTACAACATTGACATCCGTCCGAGGCCTGCCATCAAGGGCCAAGCCCTGGCGGACTTTGTGACGGAGTGTACCGCAAGGGCAGCCACGGACGGGGAGCCCTCGGCTACCTCGGACGACTAGTGGACCCTCTACACCGACGGCTCCTCCGCGACCAAAGCATGCGGGGGAGGGGTAGTCCTCATTACTCCCGAGGGCTTCAAAGCCTACTATGCAATCCGCTTCTCCTTCAAAGTCTCCAACAACGAGGCCGAGTATGAGGCCCTCCTATGTGGCCTTCGGCTGGCTGCCAACATGAAGGCTCGGTAGATCCACATCAAATGCGACTCCAAATTGGTCGTTGGCCAAATCTCCGAGGAATATGAGGCCAAGGAGGGAAGAATGAAACAGTACAAAGAGGCGGCCAAGGAATTGCTTAAGGTATTTGAGGCACACTCTCTCACTCAAATACCGAGGGCTCAGAACTCCGAGGCCGACATACTATCTAAGCTCTCGGCCGACTCCCCCGAGCACATCTCCAAGATTGCTAAAATTGAGGAACTCAGCCTCTCAAGTATCCATGCAAGCCCTGTTATGAACATACAACAACGCCAAGAGGACTGGATCTCAGATATCATCACCTTCATCTCCACAGGGCAGCTACCCGAGAACGAGACCCGCGCTAAACTAGCAAACCTGAGGGCTCCTAGCTACACCATCGAAGACGGGAGGCTCTACAAACGGTCTTACAACGGCACGCTACTTCGGTGCCTTCATCAGGATGAAGCCGAGGTCGCAATGGAGGAGGTGCACAGTGGCACTTGCTCAGCTCACCAGGGACCCTTCTCCATGTCCCGAAGGCTCATTCTCCAGGGCTACTTCTGGCCAACCATGGCCAGTGATTGTGCTGACCTTGCCCGAAGGTGCACCGCATGCCAACATTTCCAGAAAGCCCCAGGCAGGCCAGCGGTCAACTATGCCCCCATCAGCACATCCGTCCCCTTTTCTCGATGGGGGATAAACCTTGTGGGCCCCCTGCCGAGGGGTACCTCCAACAACAGATACATCATCGTGGCCATCGACTACTTTACCAAGTGGGCCCCCTCGCCAGTATCACAGAGGCGAAGTGCCGTCACTTCGTCCTCAAGAACATCCTCACAAGGTTTGGCGTCCCCCAGCAGATCATCTCCGACAACAGTACGCAATTTGAGGCAGCCCCCTTTTGTGCCCTTCTGGAGGCATGGGGCATCAAACACACCTTGTCCTCCGTTGCCTACCCTCAAGGCAACGGGCAAGTAGAGAATGCCAACCGGACCTTGCTCGAGGGCCTCAAAAAGAAGCTGGAGGCCGAGGGCGGTGGCTGGGTGGAAGAGCTCCACAACATCCTTTGGGCCTACCGCACCACCCCTCGACGAGCAACAGGTGAAACACCCTTCTCCCTCTGCTACGGGTTTGAAGCCAAAGCTCCTACGGAAGTCACCCTTCCCACCCGGAGGGTGATCCAATATGACCCCGAGGTCAACGACAGCAACATGGCCCTCGACCTCCACCTCCTTTCAGAACGCCGGGAGCAGGCCTTCATCCGGGCAGAAAACTACCGAAGGCAAGTCAAAAGCTACATCGACGCCAAGGTTCGCACCAGAGAATTCCAAGTGGGGGACTATGTCCTCCGGAAGAGGCAAGCCAGCCAACCGACCGAGGGAGGCAAAATGGCACCAAAATTCGAAGGTCCCTACATCATAGCAGCCATCATCAAACCTGGGACTTACAAGCTCAAACGCTCCAACGGGAAAGAAGTCCCTAGGCACTGGAATGTACACCACTTAGTTAAATTTTATCAATAATGTAAGAGCGGCCAAGCCCTCATAACTAGTGAATGTACTATCCTATAGCCCAAGGCCTCCACTTTTGAGGAATGAAGACACATTCAAGACACCAAGAACAACCGCAAAACACTAATGAGCGGCCAAGCCCTCATACCAACTACAGGCCCCAGGCCTCACCACGAGAAGAACCCCCTCCGGCACCAAGTGCCGAGGGCGGACACCATCAACACCTTCAACAACAGTGAAAACACCAAGTGTTTCAAACAAGACCCCTCGGTACCAAGTACCGAAGGTGGGGACTCCCATCACCGGCAACAGGAAACACCAAGTGCTTCATTTCAAGACCCTTCGGCACCCAGTGCTGGGGGTACACATCTCCACCCATCAATGTCAAATAGAAGAAGAACACCAAGTGTTCCTACAGAAGACCCCTCGGTACCAAGTACCGGGGGGCTACATATCGAAACTAACACCAAGTGTTGTTTCTAAAAGTCGTACCCCACGAGGACGCATATACCGAAGGCGCCACCATCGGTTCCGGCGGCACGTAGTGCCCCCGGCCATTTGCAACTAGTGTGCAAATGAAAACCCTTCCTTGAAACGCTTTCCGCGTCACTACCCCCAGGGTATGACAGGCATGAGAAATGCCCAGGATTCGACTTTCAAAAACGGAACGCTTTCCGCGTCATCACCCTAAGGGTATGACAGGCACGAGAAATGCCCAGGATTCGACTTCCAAACCGAAACACTCCCCGCGCTACCACCCCAAGGGTGTGGCAGGCCACGGACTATGTCTAGCGCCGAGGGGACGACTTTCAAAAATGAGGCGCTTTCCGTGCCATCCCCCAAGGGGAGGCAGGTTACAGACCACCATATCTTGTGCCCAGGAAATGACCCTCGATCCCCTCGGAACTCGGAAGGTTAACCCGAGGGAGGAGAGCCATTGGTGTATTCTGATGGTCTCCTGATAGGCCCAGCCTTACCAATAAACCAAGTTTCTTGATGCCTTCCCTTCACCACCAACCAAAAAAAAGAGGGGGTGAAGGGGAGTAGACTCTTCGAGAAATCAGTGGGTACAACACTCCAACAAATCACAACATACCGAGGGCTCCCTACGGGAACACCTCCTATATCCCACCAGCATTCACTACAACATCAATATCCTACAAATTTTCCTAAGTCCACACTTTTGAAAAAATGACAATAGCCGGAGGCTCACATATCACCCAACGACCGAAGGCATCTATTACAAATCATCAAAGGCCAACCAAGGGGGATTATTCCAAAATAACGTCGCCCCCGGGAAATCTCAATGGGAAAACACTACTAACCGAAGGCTACACAAGGAAGCAACACATAGAAATTTTTCTAAGTCCTGAAGATTGGGCCCTCAGCCTGATCAGTATTTCAACTGAGGAACCATGATAGCCGGAGGCTACGAGATGCAACGGCACTTAGAAGATTTCCTAAGTCCTACATATTTTTCCCTCGGTCAAACTACTTATACATCAAGGAGAAGGCTATCACCCCGGAGCCGAGGGCTACTTGACACCATGCATTTGGAAGTAAGGCTAAGTCCTAAATATTTGGCCCTTGGCCAAATATCCACGCAACAGGAAGGTTCACCCAGCGATTCGAGGGCTCCTATCAGGACCACTCGGGGGCTCAACATCTGAGATCCACTTAGAAAATTTTCTAAGTCCTAAATATTCTCCCCTCGGACAGACTCCTCACTAATCGAAGGCTACAACCGTATTCAAACACTTAGAAAATATTCTAAGTCCTAAACATACACTAAAAAAGGGCGAAGGCATACACTCAGAAGGAAACGACGGCATACACTCAGGAATAGATAAATCGAAAGGAAGCATGTTATATATGAAAAGCCCGAAGGCAAACATTCATCAATCGACAGAAAGAAGAGTAAATGTGATTGTTACAAAGATGGCCGGGGCCGAAAGCATAAGAATGTGACCATTACAAGTGTGTTCCAATTGCTAAGTACAGATTACAAATCAAACAATATCATTCCTGGGAGCCGCCTCCTCCGATGGCTTCGAGGTGACCTCTGCATCGGCCTCAGGTTCGTCACCCTCGGCTTCCTTCCGGAGCTCGGTGTCCTCCAGGTCCGGCCTCTCGACATCGGAGGGGAGAGGAACACGGATGTATGGTTGCAGGGGGGAAAGCCCGTATGCCGCCGGGTCGAAGTCCTTCGGCTCAATTTTCAAGTGGCGAGCCATCCTCCGGTAGATGAGGGCTTGGGTGAAAAACTCGCCCCCATCATAATATTGTTTGCCCTTTCGGGCCATCCATTCCTCGCCCGGGCCCTCGCACCACTCATCGACTGAGGCCTCCACAACCGAGGACAGCCACTCCTTGTGTCCCTCGGCCTTCCACCCCCATCCAGGAACCCGGAGATGGCCTCCTCCCGGGCTGTGGCGACAGCCTTCGCTCTGATGGCCTCGGCCTCCTCGGCGGCTCTCCTTGCGGCCTCCGCAGCAGCCTCCTCAGCTTTGGCTTTCTCCTCCCTGAGCCTTCCGGCCTCCGCTCTCGCAAGCTGGAGGTCCTCTTCAAGTTGGGCCATCAGCTTTGTGGCCTTGGAGTCCTTGAGAATTAGCTCCTTCATCTTGGCGTCTTGCCCAGCTTTGTGGAGGAGCCATTCCTCCAGCCGTCGGGCCTGCTCCCCAAGGGCAATGCAGGTCTGCAAAAATAAATGAGTTAGCAGGGCCGAACATAATTTCCTAGTTCGGAGAAAAGAAGAGAAAGATAACTGTCATAGACTTACCGTGAGGGAAGACTGGAGGATCCTGTCCTCGAGGGATTGGTCATCATCGGCCTCGAGGGCTGCCCTGTCAATGTCGAGGGTTATACCTCTCAGAAGCGCCCTCGGGTCAGCTGTGCCATTCAACACGGTCGTACCAGCCGGGAGGGAGAGCGTAAGGACCTCAAGAGATGGCTCCCGGACACCCCTCGGCACCTTCGCCACCAGCATCTCCTCGTGCACCCCGGAGGCGGGGCAATCATCCACAATCACCACCGGGGGGTCCTTCTTCGCAGTGTCCCCCTTCTTCGATTTCTTGGTGGCCTGGGGGGACTCCTTGGCCGTCGGTTTCCTCTTCGCGGCAGCAGCGTCGCCCTCGGGCTTCTTGAAAAGCGTACCGACGGGCTTTTGGCCACCCGCGTCCGACCCCTTCGGATCCTTGGCCGGCTTGTTCTTGAAACAGGCAAGGCCTTTGACGTTCATCATATTCACTGGGACACCTGCAAAAAACAATGTGGGGTTAAGACCGAGGGGTCACTAACAGATGGCATAAAGAGAAACAAACAAGCAAATGGGTTAAGACTGCGAGAGTGCCCTCAGCCACTACCTCCGGAGGCTCCCTCAAACACCAGGAACTTCTCATCTGTTTCCCCCAGGAAGCGATACCTCCGGAACCCGAGGGTGTAGAGATCTCCCTCTTTGGTGCACTCCTTAATGGTGATATTCTTGTCCCGGCCCTCCGGGATCATGGCCAGAATCCTGCCGTCTTTCTCGAGGGCGGCGCTCCTCCTCTTCTCGTGCCTCCTGAAATGGTCACGTAACTCCCTCGGGAAGGGGCTCTCGGTCAGCTTCACGTAGCACCACCGGTCCTTCCACCCCTTGTTCGAGGAGGGCGCCTCAGTGAAGAGCTTGAACATGGCCACCTGCTGCAAGTTTGCGAAGCCCTCGGCATTCGCGTGCCCCCCGGCACAAATTGAAGCTCTGGAAGAAGAGGTCCAGGCTAGGCGTCACCCCCCGGGACTTGCAGAGCTGAAGGAAGCCAGTAATATAAGAATGGCTGTTCGGGGTCAGCTGGCAGGGGACCAGACCCACGAACCGAAGGTACTCCCGGAGGAAAGGGTGCAGGGGGAAGCGGAGCCCCATGGATACCGAGAGAACATGCACCGCTATACAGCCCTCGGGAGCCCGGGAGAGGATGTCATCTGGACCCGGTGTCACCACGATGGCCGAGGGGCCCACGTGAAGCTGGGTGACGTATATGTCCGCCGCATCAACCTTCGACTTTATTTCCAAGGCGGCGGTGTTCAGGTAGGAGTACCCCTGAGGCATATCGAGGGGCTTCCCTTGATCTGCGACGCTGCCCTTCTTCTTGGGAACAACTACCTTGGCCTTCTTCTTCCCGGGGGCCACCCGGATGGGAACTGCATTCAGCGGCCGAGAGGTACTGGCCTCACCAGCACCCCAGGGGGAAGGACGGCCACGGTCACCCTCGTCCTCTCCTTTGCTTCCTCCTCCTCTGCAACCTGCATGGCGAGGGCTAGCTCTTCGTCTTCCACCTCCTGCTCGAAGCCCTCGGCTTCAACTTCAGCCAGCAGCTCCTTCTGCACCTCTACTGCCATCGCAACGTCCTCCTGGGCCGAGGACTGTTCGTTTGAGGACTCCACATCCGAAAGGACTTCATCCTCCATCGAGGGCGCCCCCGAGATGTCTTGAGAATCACTCTGTGAAGACATTGTTGTACTAGGTCGAGGGTTCGGGGACGCTAAGTGCTCTAAGCTACCTACCTAGTCTAAGGCCACAAATACAGCTAGCTAAGAGGTGAAATGCGAATGGAGAACTGACCTTAGAATCTGATCGAGGGTTGCTGTTTCTCTCTCTAGAAAAATTGGCAGAGCTTCACTATAAGAATTTCGCACAAGGAGGAGTGCCTGGCCTTGGGGTATTTATAGGCGCTGGAATCCGGGCTTGGGCCCGGAAACCGGGCCTCCGGATGGACCGTCATCATTACGCGCCGTGTCTTCGCCCAACCGGTGACGCCGCCCACGGACAGCCAACCGTCACGCGCCACGTGTACCCCCCCCCCCCAACGGCTATATCCTGACGTTACATATTCCAACGGCTATATTCTGGGAGCCCCCGGATTTTCTTACTTCACTCCACTTCATCAAGGAGAGCCTCCGGGTACACTTACCCAGAGACGCCCCCGGGTTGTGCCCACACAGTACATAAAAGTCGCCTTCGGGATCACTCCTTCAGAAGCCCAAGGCTTCATATCAGGCCACCCCTCGGGGATTCCCCCTCAGCACTGTAAGGGCCGGGTAGCCCCCGGGAAGTATGCCTCATTGACAGATAGCCTACGACACACGGGTAAGGGGAGCCCTCGGATATCCTCATCACCAACTAATCAGCAAGCAGGGGACACCCCGGTGACAATTCAACTACACATCTCATCCATCACGCCCTCGATCCCCAGATTGAGGGGCTCCCCTTCGGCACCTCCCAGGACATCAACAGCAAGCCTCCGGCTACTCAACACATGAGCCCTCAGAACAAGGAGAGCCTTCGGCATTACCATTATTCTCCATTTTGACCAAGGTTTCACATTTTTGATTCATCGTTGGGGGAATTCGGTGCACTCTTTTTCCCTCATTAGGATTTTCCCCCCAGGGTTTTTCCTAATGAGGTTTTTAACGAGGCATCCCCCCAAAATGAAACGAAAAGCGTCAGCCTTCGGCCCCATGCTACAACGGACTAAACTCTACTCCTTTTCACCACTTTACAAGTGCCTCAAGGAGTGGGGGACTAGAGAACCCCTTCGGGAAAATCATTAAATTACAAAATTGGTGAAAAATTCCAACAGGCGGCAAAGCAATCCCTCAAGTCCCGACATGTGGGTAACTGAGGGACTGCCTTCGGCAGGGACATGCAACCAACAACTCCTCACCAACCTCAGAGATTACAACGGAACAACGGCAGGGGACAAACACAAATTACTCCTTTTCCCTCAAGTACCTTTCGGCAAAAGGAGTGAGGGACTCCTGATGGAGTATATGGCCCGGAAACATCCGGCCCACAGACTCCTACTACTCCAGTAAAGGCCCAACAGGCCCAGAAGGCCCAACAGGCCCAAATCACAACGCCTATAGTACCAAGCAGCCCGCAAGGCGCACCAGGGGTGCCTTCGGCCGCCTGGCCGAAGGCTCTAAACTCTCACAGAACGGGTTTCTCAAGCAGACTAAGAAACTGGGAAAAACGGCAGAAAACAGTAGCCCTCGGCACCTGGAGCCCTCGGCACCCAGGGGTCCCCGGCACTCAGAGCCCTCGGCTAGTCCTCCGCAGCCGAGGGCACCTCTCCCGACATAATATCCACGCCACATGCATACAGATCACCGTACCCTGTACAACGTCCCATTCAACAGCCGCATTAAATGCGGCCACATGCGGCTGCCAGCGCCAACCAGTTGAGGTGACCTCTCGGCCAATGGGCGCTTGACACGTGTCCCTGTCCGGCATTTATTGCTACTATAAATAGCACCCCTTTTCCCCATTTGTAACCAAGTCATAAATGCTGCATACTTTCTGAATACACTTTCTCTCTCTAGACTTACTTGCTCTGACTTCTCTCTTGTTATTCCCCACAATAACCCCCCGGATAAGCTACCCCCCGGGTACACTATCCATCAATCCTGAAACTCGGTTGGGGTTTAGTATTCCCGGGACGGTAAATGATCCTGAAACTCGGTTGGGGTTGAGTATCCCCGAGACGGTAAATGATCCTGAAACTCGGTTGGGGTTGAGTATCCCCGGGACGGTAAATGATCCTGAAACTCGGTAGGATATTATGAATGTAGAACGTAGCTTGTGAGTCAGGTATCCAGGAAAGGAGTGAGATAAGTCAGGTAAGAACTTTATCTCTAAAAGACTCTTTAAGGTAAATGACCTACGGGTTATGTATTTTATGAGTATATATACGGTATGTATCATCGAGTGGATGAGAGACATCCATATATATGTATCACCCTATTTTTGGGTCTCGTGTCTGAAAACTTAGTTATTCTTCATATAGCCTACTTGTCACTAGTACTTCTATGGAGTACTGACCCCTCCGGGGGCCCTCACAATTTTCAGGTTAAGGCTAGAGTCCTACTACCTACACCTTTGCCTAGGGTGACTGATCAAGAAGGAAGACGTGGTTCGTGCTTCCATTCTTATTTAAAATTTATAAACTACTCATGGATATTTGAACAATGTTTTCCTTTAAAACAGTTGGAGGCCTGCGTGCTCATGTTTGCCACGTGTGGCTAAATATCAAACATATTATTTCTGCATTTGTTTGATTATGATATTGATGTTGATTGTATGTGTTTACAAATCGGTTTGGCAATAGAATCTATTGGACGCCTTGTATGATTCAATAAGGATGAACTAATGTTGTTCTTATCGGGTTGTATGGCGGTTGTCTATGTGGCTCGGATACGGTCCGAGGCATGACAATTAAATGGTATCAGAGGCATCGATTTCTAAACTATATAATTAACCTCTAAATATTCTTACCATTAAAAAGTTTTGAACAAAACCATGAGCAAAAGTTTTTGTACCAAAGGAACCGTTGGAAACAAAGTTATTGACCTCTTATTGTTAAGACGGTACCCTTAACAGTTTGTTTGCCTTAATGTTGGACCAAGTGGTGTCTTTTGTACTATTCCGTCAATCGACATTGAAACGAGTCTAATGGCTCATTCCTTATTTCTTTCAGAAATGGAGGGTGGACACAAGATAACTAGGAGAAACCAAACGGGTCGTGCACCGGGGGCCACCGGGCACGACACACGGGCAGAATCACGGACCTCTAGGGGTAGAGGCCGGGGCCAAGAATGAGGAAGAGGTCGAGGCAGGGGTCGTGTACTACTAACGGCAAGTAGTACACGAGTCAATTCTGTGCACCCGTCGTGGGCCACCGAACCGGACGATTTCACATATGCTCCAAGTACGGAGCAGGAGGAGACCCCGTACAACGGGGAGGACATTGATGAGAAGATGAGGATGATGATCCTCATTATGATTGTATGAGCGAGGTACTAGAATGGTACCTCGAGAACAAAGCAAAGAGGTAACAACGACACCAAGCTGGACAGGCTAGGCAAACGATGGGGCAGGGAAGCCGGGGTGCTTCTAGTGCTCCATCTGGGGAATTCGGGGGAGACACGATGGTGCGTATCTCCAAGTACCTCAAGGAGGCTAGGGCCTTGGGTTGCAAGTCATTTGATGGCAAGGGCGACATATCTGAGGCCGCCGACTGGATTAATAAGCTGAATGACGCTTCTAGGGATATGCAGATTGGACTTGACGTGAAGTTGAGGGTTGCCATCAGGCTACTTGATGGAGTAGCTGTTGTATGGTGGGAAGGCATGGAAGGAAAGTTCCGCGTTGAGGCCACTTGGGAGAAATTCGAAGTGGAATTTTATAATCAGTACTACTCTG